TTCTTCCAAGATGAGCCAAATTGGTCCAGTTTCTGATAGTTGTTATTTGTCTCTTCTACACTGAGAAGCCCACAGCATCCTCCCAGTGTTTGCAACTGAGCATTTTCACCTTAGCTGACCCTATCTGAATTGCATTTATTTTATTTCTATTTAGTGACTAAGGTATACCACATATAATGGTACTTACACAGCAGTTACCTGGGGTAAGTTAGCCAGATGCTTCCAATTAGAGTAGCTCTATCTCACCCTTCTTTGAAAATGAGTGTTAAATGCATAAGACCCCCTCTTTTGTCTTAGGAAGGCGAGCACAGGGACATCATCAACTTCTTGTTTGTTGACTGAGGCTCTTGATGGAAAACAGCATCCCAGAACAGCAAGTCCGTGTTAGTTATTTCTAAGAGTCAGAATGAGTTGCAAAATTATAATGAGGCAGGGAAATTTTTTCTTGTGGTATTGGGTAGGAAGTACCTTTCTACAGAGGTGAGGTGGGAAAGATATCTCTGGCCAAAATGTGTCTACAAGAGAAACTATCCTGCTGAGAGCAAGACATTGTTGGTCCAACTGGATTCCTTCTATGGCCATGACTATGTAAATTAAATGATATAGATAGATAGATAATATATATACACGTGTACACATACATACATATATCCATACAAATACATATGCATATATACATATACCTAAATATTCTCTTTCTCTCTTACTTTTCTTCTCGCCTCTATTGGCAAGGACAGATCTTACCCAGTCTTTGCTCTTCCCTCACCCTATTTTGCTTGGATGCCAAGCTGGGCTGACTTCCCATCTACACTTTGGTTTCTCCTCCTTAGCTGGATATATTTGTACAAAACTCACAGATAATCTGGGTTGCCAGGTCTGCTCCATCTTCTCATTCAGTGAAATGAAAATAACATTTAAAACACCCAGTCACAAATGTCTGTTTAATAATTCTTGATTGCTGCCCTGAGATTGGATGTCCATATTTGTGAATATTTGATGCTTGGAAACGAGCACAAAATGGCTGTCTAAAATGGCTGGAAATTTGCTTCCTGTGGCTCTGCATGTGATAGCAGGAATGTGACTTTGGGGCAGCCCCATCTCTTCTTTTGTGAGGGATTCATTTGGTGGGCCATCTTGGTCAGGCCCACTTACATTAAGGAACTACTCACTGCCCTTGAGGTAGCTCAAGACTTGGGAGAAATCATCCAGAAGAAAATACTTTATAATAGCATATTAAATATTCTGTTGAATAATATAAAAGACTGTTCCAAGTGATGAGGAACATCTCTACAGATTTTTTATTTTCTTTAATTAAGTGTTTAGCATTTCCCCTGGCAGGCCTGGAAACAAAATTTGAGCCTAGTGGGTGAGATCTAGGATTGAGGGAGCAAGGAGTTGGGAGAAAGGGTGGGCTTGGGAGAGGTCAGCTCTTTAACTAGACAGGCTCATGGTTGGGATCTACTTCCAGGAGTGAAAAAACACGACTTGCCATGAAGACATTAGTAAATTAGCTTATGAATGTCTTTGGGCATTCCCAATCTACTACTGAGGCCATTTGAAATTTCTACTTAATCTCTGTAGAATACCCAGAAGCAATGCCTTTGCCATCTTGACACAACCCCCAGGCCTTTCTTTATAGCCACCTGGGCAACCTCCCTTCTGGTCAGCTTCACTTCCCAGAGGGAATCCATGTGACAACTACACTAGTCCAAACTCTACATTGCAAGGGACAGTAACCCCAGAGCATACTAACTTAGTAGAAAGGGGCTTTCCTATCTTCTCAGCTTTCCTCCTGTTGTCCTTATTCCTTCCCAATAAAAAAAATAAAAACTTCTTTTTCAAAAAAGTTTGAACCTACCATGTGAACCTACACATGGTAGGTTCAAACTCACTTGAATCCATGACCTCCTGGCTCCTTACTTCCAAGGTTCCAGAGAGAAAAACTCAGGGAAGCATTCTGATTGGTGCAGCCTAGATCACATGCTTGCTTCCGGCCCAGTTACTATGAGAAGGAGGCATCGTGATTTGCCCAATTTGGATCACACGCTCATTTCTTAGGGTCCATGCTTCAGCAAAAGCTGTACCTTATGCAACACCTCTTCCATGATTTCATTAAGCTTGGGCCTTCCCAGCCCTCCACTGAATCTCAGCCAAAAAGCTATCATGGCAGAAGGATACACCTACTTCCTCACATGCTGGCCAGAGGCTGGGATACGTGGCATATGTTTGCTGACCTTCCCATTACGCAGTTGGTCTTGTGTGCATGTGCAGTGATAAAAAGTGCTCTTCTTGGGCGCCTGGGTGGCTCAGTTGGTTAAGCGAGCCTTCGGCTCAGGTCATGAGCCTGGAGTCCCGGGATCGAGTCCCACATCGGGCTCCCTGCTCATCAGGGAGTCTGCCTCTCTCTCTGACCCTACCCCCTCTCATGCTCTCTATCTCATTCTCTCTCTCAAATAAATAAATAAATAAAATCTTAAAAAAAAAAAAGTGCTCTTTTTTTTTTTTAAGATTTTATTTATTTATTTGACAGCGAAAGAGACCGTGAGAGAGGGGGGAGCGGGAGAGGGAGAAGCAGGCTTCCCGCTGAGCAGGGAGCCTGATGCAGGGCTCGATCCCAGGACCCTGGGATCATGACCTGAGCCGAAGGCAGACGCTTAACTGACTGAGCCACCCAGGCACCCCTAAAAAGTGCTCTTCTTATCTCTGTGTCTCAGCTGTGGTCTCCCTGCCTCTTCCCATTTGGGTGTATTGGTTTCTAAAGCCAAACATATTCCGTATATGTCATGGGTTGAATTGTCTAGAAGCAGCCCTTGAGAGATGGGTTTAGGTGTATGAGACTCTGAGGGAGTGCTACAGACACACAGACAGACGCATGCACACGCCCCTCTCAGGTTGTGAGGGTAACAAAATAGGAAAGATAAAGGAGACACTCAAAGATGGGGTCTCAGTCTCAGATAAAGTCTGGACCAGGGGTAGTTAAATTATGGCCCTTGGACCAAATCTAGCAGCCACCTGTTTTTATAAATAAAGTTTTATTGGTACACAGCCACACCCATTCATTGACATCATGTCTGTGCTTTCTTGCTACAGGGGCAGAGTTGAGTATTTGTAACAAGTCTGCGTGGCCCATAAAGACTGAACTATTTATAGTCTGGCCCTTTAGGAAAGAAGGTTGCTTGTTCCGATCCCTGGGAGCTCTGGAGCATCCACTGCTTCATAAAGCCGTCCCTACTTTGAGGCAGAGGGCTGGTCTGCATGTCCTAGTGTCAGCGAGGCTCTGGTTGCCGACCACCGCTGGTGTTGAGGGTGAGGTGCACGAAGCACACTAAACCCAGGGCAGTGGTTCCTGAGAATAACTTCCTGGGTGTGAGGGGCAGCTGTGAGCTGTGTGCAGCCAAAACAGCAGCCGGGAAATGGGCACACATGCCAGGGAAAGGCGATCTTCCAAGGCAGCACAAGCATCCACTGCCATGTTTATCTGGATCTGTACATGCACTTCCTGAAGCTGGGGAGAACCTGTATTTCCTGCCTGAAGCTGAACCATAATCACCTCATCTGGACTCCACCTCGTCTCACTCTTCCCTTCACTCTGTCCATCCCACTGCTCTCAGGGTGAAGGGGAAAGCCTTCACAAGGCCTCCTGGGCCCCGCCGGCCTGTCCAGCCCCACCTCCTTCCACTTGGCTCACACTCTGTTCTGCACCACCTGTGCCTCAAGGGAAGGGTGCGGCATCCTGCATTGCTGAAAACACTGCCTCCCCTCCAATTTCAGGGCTTCTGGCCATGCCCTTCCCTCTGCCCTGAACACCCTCCCCAGCGCCCTCCACCTTCACCCACACATAACCGCATCTAGACTTCTGGATTTCAGCTCAGATAATATTCCCTCCAAGCAGACTTCTTGAACCTCTCTCCCCATGAACCCCATTCCCTCTAAGTAGCCAATACTTGGTTCGTGTGCCTTTGCATATTTTTTTCCTGTCTTTGCAAATCGCACCACTCAAGCAACATGCATAGATTTTCTTTTCTTTAACAAAGATGCTATATTATATGCATTACTTTCACATTTGCTTTTTCTCCCTTAACAATATAACCCAAAAGAAACTATCCAGGTTGACTTGTATAGAGTTAACTCATTTAAAAATATATATATATTTATTTATTTGAGACAAAGAGAGAGAGAGAGAGAGAGGAGGAGGGGAGGGAGAGAGAGAGAAGCAGACTCCCTGCTGAGCATGGAGCCTGAGGTGGGGCTCAATCCCAAGACCCTGAGACCATGACCTGAGCCGAAATCAAGAATCGGCAGCTCAACTGACTGAGCCACCCAGGCACCCCTAGGGTTAATTCATTTTTAAACACATTTTTTCCTAACAGCTCCATGATATGTACACATTGTGTAGTATGGATGTACAATAATTTATTTAAGAATTACCATCTGTAGGAATTCAGGTTGTTTCTGTGCGTGTGCATTTTTGTCACTTTACAGACAACGGTGTAAAGAACATCTCTGAACAAACATCCATGAATTCTGATGCTGTTTCTGTAGGCTTAATCCCCAGAAGTTGTATTATTTGGTCAAAGTATACCTTCACTTTATGTTTCCAGACACACTGCCATGGTCCTTTCTGCAAATATGGCAAATTGGGCTCCCATGTGAGGTTATGAGACTGGCCAGTTTCCCACATCTTTGCCAGTATGGTGTCCTTTCCATACTTGTAATGTTTGCCCATCTCTTGGCAAAGGAATGGCTTCTCCTTGTTGTTCTGACTTGCATTTCCATGACTATGATTGAAGTTAATCATCTATTATATATACATATATATATATTACCCATCCAACTTCAGCTGCTTTCCAGGGAGGATCCTGGAGCCGCTTGTTCTGATGTGTCTGTTGCTCTCCTCTCATGTCCCCGGAGGGTGGGCAGATTGGGACCCAGCGATGGTGGGCATGGGTAGAAGGTCCTGCTCCACCTGTGACCATGTCCTGCTATCTCCTCCCTTGCAGACACGACCCAGATGAACAACGCAGTGCCCACCTCCCCTTTGCTCCAGCAGATGGGCCATCCACATTCGTACCCTAGCCTGGGCCAGATCTCCAACCCCTACGAACAGCAGCTGCCGGGCAAAGAGCTCAACAAGTACGCCTCCTTGAAGGCAGTCGGTGAGTGCTGTTCTGTTTCTCCTCTACTTTTCTGCACTTTTTTTCTCGTTCCCTCTGTTTTTTTCTAGTCCTCTTGCTTTTTCTTCCTACTTCTCCTTTTCTTTCGCATCTTCTTCTTTCTCAGAATCTGTGTCTCTCTCTGTCTCTGTCTTTCTCTCTTGGTCTCTTTCCTCTCTCTCTCTCTCTCTGTCCGTCTGCCTCACACATATTCTTGGTCTCCTACCTGGGGCCCAGGTTGCTGGGAAGCAGAGCCCCTGGGCTGCTGCTTCTCTGGATCGAGTCCTACCTTGCCACATGGGGCAGGGTGGGTGAGTGAGGGACACATGTGGGGACTGTTTCCCGGGGAGAAGGGCCTGGAGGCTCATTTGGATCCGACTGATAGCCCAGCCCCTTGGTCATCCACCATCTGCCCTCGTGAATCCTCAGGGAATCCAGGACACCCGGTGTCTGAATACCTTGCCCTGTAGTGGGTAACATCCATCACCCCCGTAGTCATCCCATCTCTGAGAAGTTGGTAAGTGCACGCCCCCATCTCAGGCAACTTCCACTCTTCAGGATGGGGCACGCTGCCTGGAGCTTGTGCTAACTGGGCTCTTATCAAAGTGCCAGACATTGCATTGGACCTTTTCATACATCCTGCCTTGCTTTCTCACAGGGATCCAAAGAGGAAGACACAATTATTATCCCAGTTTTCAGATTAGGAGACCAAGAGTCAAGGGGGTCTAATTTCATTTGCCCCAAATCAAGCCGCCTGTAGGTTTTTATCACTCCAGAGCCTGCCTCTCACAGCCTAGCTCACACACGAGGGAGGGTGACAGTGACCCTGATGGTGGCCCAGGCTCCTGAACACATCGCTCATGCAAGAGTCCTACAGGGCGGAAGCCACAGCCATCGTGAAGTCAAACTTGGGGCAGACGCAAGACTCACAGGCCGCATGCTTGCTTTTGTTATCAGCTGCTTGTCTTCATGTCTTCCCTCGTCAGAGATGGGATGGGAGACACTTGCTGATCAATTCCAGCGTCAAATATCCTAATTCCATTACACACTGACACCAGAAACCAAATCCCAGACACTGTCACCTGTCTGTGATGCTTGTGGGGACCCTGGTCTCCCAACATATAGAGGCACAAAACAGGCATCTTGATGCTCGGCAGAGGGCTATGCGTATAGTGGGAACTCGGTAAGCATTGGAACCACAAGGATCTTTAGGAATTCCTATTTCTTCCCCATCGCCTAGGACTTCCAGATGGAGTCACTCAAAGACAGGCAGACCAAATTTCTAATACGAGGGCACACAGGCTTTTCTAAATCCTAAGCCCCGCAAGGACTTACGTACCAGTTCCCACGTTTCGTGTTGAATTTCTACACCCAGCTCAGCCCTCACGTATACCCCATGACCACAGGCTCCCTCTGTTCCCTACTGCATGTTTGCACAGCATATGCATCCTAAGCGTGTCCAAATAGACTCAAATATTAGTAGGAAGAGCTGAGGGCTGTTGCCTAGGAGAGAGAGAGTCAGGGCGTCTGCACCGATGTAGCTGCAAAGTGTTCATACACTGTTTGGTGCCCCCTCCCCCACCCCCTTCCTGAGCTTTGCATTTAGGTGATAAATGGCGTCTGCTGGTTCTATTTGATTCTTCTTTTGGCATTAAAAAAAAATCAACCCAGACATCTTTTTCCTTTTGAACTGGTTACATTACCCTAAACAATTCATTTCTTCAGCTTAGGCCCAGTGTCTTGTCCCCCCTCAAAACTCCGTAGCTATTTGGGTAAATAATGGGATAGATATTCCCACAATGCTCCTTGATTTTCTCCAGGATTTATACAGGGATCCCGTGCATGGCAAATGTCTGCAGGGCATTGAGAATTAAATTTGCAGCACGAAAATATATCTTACCCTCCTTAAGTAACTGTTTCTTCCACAAAGCGAGAACTTCTGAAATGGTTGCTGAATGAATGAATGAGCTTGTCTTTGGCATGAATCAAAGAATAGCTTAGTTGTAAGGAAGCACCCCTAATCTTCTAGAAAACTCTGAAGGATCGTATTTAGAGAACCCTCCACAATCCTGGATATGGCTGATGTGCCCCTCTTCTTCTCTGAGTTGACAAACTTTATCTGAGTCACTGATGGTCTTGTGACTCCTAATGAATGGAGATCCAGTGGGACTGCCTGACCCAATGGCTTACCCAGGTGTCCAGCATCTGCCTGCACAAATGAAATGCAAATCCCATAATAAATGTTCTTTGAAGGGTTCTTTATTAAGGCATAATTCACACCATGATGTGTGGTGGATGATGAAGTGCATTTCATTAGTGAAATCATTACCACCGGGGAGAGAAATTGTTTAAAAAATTGTTTGCTGTTGGAAGCTCTGCAGCCTCTGATAACCAGACTTATTTTCTAAAAATTTCTAGTAAATAAGGAGAGCCTTGGACAGCCTTTAGGGTTAACTGCCAAGTTCAAAAATACCCCTGGAAAATAAATTTCTCTTGGCGGCTTTAATATCCAGAACATCGGGTAGTTTGAGCCAGTCACTGAGACTCTCTGACCTCAACTTCTTCAAGTGAAAAATGAGAAATGAAAAGTGAGGAAATTTTAAAATAGAAAATGAAACAATACCACTCATTCTAGTTATTAGAATACCTGTGGGGGCCATTAAATATATCCCATCCATTCATTGCCAACCCAGAGAGAAAAGGATGTGACTGTTGGTTTATTTTCTTTTATTTTAGTTGCTTATTGAAATCACATTCATGTTTAAAGAGAACTCTTTTCTCTCTACAGTTCAGGGATACAGCATGTGACTGCAGAATGGCCTCTGTTCCCAAGGGGTTCACTGCCCAATTATCAGTAAAAGATGAGCACACACTAAGGAAATGTCAGAAGCTAAACCTCTTCAGACTCTGTACAAGGAGGTGTGTTTCATTCATTCATTCACTCACTCATTCTTTAGACACTTAATCTGCTCTCCCTTGATTGTAGGTCCCGTTGAGGCATGAACCACATCTGTCCCATTCATCAATGCATCCCCAGAACCTCCTACCATGTTGGGGGACTTGATGAGTGCTCCCAATATGTATTTGTGTTTTGTTTTGTTTTTTTAAATTTTTAAAAAAATTTTTTTAAAGGTTTTATTTATTTATCTGACAGACAGTGAGAGAGGGAACACAAGCAGGGGGAGTGGGTGAGGGAGAAGCAGGCTTCCCGCTGAGCAGAGAGCCCGATGTGGGGCTTGATCCCAGGACCCTGGGATCATGACCTGAGCCGAAGGCAGACGCTTAACGACTGAGCCACCCAGGCGCCCCCCCCCAATATGTATTTGTAAAATCAGTGAATAATAGTGTGTGTTGGGCACCACATCAAGTCAGGAGCATGAGATGATCAGCAAGATGGCAGAATGTAGCATGGCCTCCGAGTTTAAGACCTCGCTCAGACATTTATCAAATAATTTCAGAGATTACTTAACATCCTCAGGTCTCCGATTCTCCCTCTGTAAAATGAAGATAATAAAAATAGACAGCTAATCGTCTGTTGGGAATATTTAATGATGTAGTGCACAGAATGTGCTTAGCCTGACACACAGTCAATCCTCAGTAAATACTGCCACATACTTAAGTCTCCAGACCAGAGTTGTTTGTTGGCCATATTTTTCCTTGAATCTCCAAGGCAGACCAGTACCTTGATTAACATGCAATTGCTCAGCTGTCATTTTGAGGGGGGGAGAGTTTATCCCAGTTTAATGGGAAAGACATACAAGGAAGCTAACTCACACTGAGGATCTGATAAAACAAACAAGCAAGCAAGCAAACAGCGAAGGACTCTTCTGAGTTGTCCTAAGGACCCGCAGTCAGCCAGACCTCTTCACTGCCCCATCCATAGCCTGAACAATGAAGTTCCATGCCCAGACATATGGCTACTACAGTCTATCACAAAAAGCTTCAGTTTCATCCAACTGACTCTCCTTCCTAAGTCAGAAATGAGGATTTAAACATTTTAGACATATCGTCCACTAAAACTGAAGACAAGAAGTGTGTCTTGTGATAGACTGAGTTGAAATGTAACCTGAAAACTTAATTAAGCCTATGAGTTCCCTGGCTGGAGCCACCCGTGTGGTGGGTAGTTACGGTGTGAGAACCCATTTTATGGTTCTTCATAGGTCAATGTTGACAAGACAGAGGTGTTTGGGAAAATATCCTTAAGGCTTACCTGATGGCTTAGAGAGGGGTGGCTCCTGCCTCCAGAGCTGGAAAAAGCCCTTGCAAACAGAAAATCGCCCACACGTTGGCATTTATCTCCTATTGGCCCCATGTCCAGTTTTTTTCTCTATGCAGCTAAAAGTTAAACTCCTGACCATGTGCCCTTCAGATGCCACAGTACAACCCCGGCTACTCAATGAGAGAAAGAGACAGGGCATACCAGCATTATCAATAAAATGCCACAATGCCTTCATTTTTACATTAAAATTTTAATGAGAAAATACTTTTTCTGTTGCTATTTGACAGACAAGGGACTATTTTGCCAGAACCATGTTACCTTTTCCAATGGCCCTGTTTAAAACCACAGCAATAACGCACTTCAACATGGCAGGAACTCCCTCTTCCATCTTGCTGTAGGAATCACGTGTGAAAACCCTAAGTGATGCATGAGCGCCTCAGCCATGGATTGACTTCTACTAGTTTAACTTTGAGGGAAGTCTTGGTCCCATTCTTGCAGGTGGTGAAACTAAGGCTCAGTGTAGTTAAGCAGTTTTCCCAGAGTCACACTTCTGGTAAATGGTAGAGCCAAGAGTCATATTCAGGATTATCTGATTCAGAATCCTGTGTTCTTTCAGTGAAATAATTCTGTCTTCCAGAGAGCAATTTATGGCATCAGGTGGTTGTAACCAGGTCAAAAAAAAAAAAAAAAAAAAGGTTTGGGAGTACCATTCCCCCTTTTTTGGAGGGAGAACTTACTAAAATACTGTTTTTCTTTGTTTGAAGTTGCAAGTTTTCCCATGGTG